TTTGGAAAGATGCAGATGATATTTTTGTCTCTTAAATATTAGAATAATTTAATTGATATAAACATTTTTTTGATATTTGGAAATATGATTTACTCTTCATTCATCCCAGTATTTTGTCTCAAAAAACATTCCAAAAAATTCTTATTCTAGCATGAAACATCAAACCAGTGATTCCTTACCCTCGTTTGGGGAATAATGTCACTGTCAGAATACCTTTGTACCTAATACCTTTAGCTGGTACAAAGTGTACAACATGAAGTATCTCATTCAGACATAGTTATAAATATAGTTTTTTTAGGTTAGGTTTCGTTTTAAATTCATTCAAAGCTAATTTTGATTGAATTTAAGATTATACATTAATAAATATTTTTGTTCTCGTGTGTGTAGTATTTATTACTAAACCTTTTGTGAAAAAATCATCGAACTTTGCGTGGTTATTATAACCGTGGCAAATGGAACGAAACTTTGTTAATCCTATTAATGTTATAAAAGTGAAAGTTTGTATGTTTGTTACTCAATCACGCAAAAACTACTGAACGGATATAGATGAAATTTGGTACGCATATAGTTTATAATCTGAATTGACATAAGTAAAGGATACTTTTTATTCCGGAAAATTTTAGGTTCTCGTGGGATTATTAAAAATCTAAAGTTAACGCGGAGGAAGTCGCAGGCGGTCGGTAGTTGGTAAAATACAATCGACATAGATACACAATCTCGGTGATGACGCTACAATCGCTTCATTTCACAACAGCGAAAAAAGGAACCAAGTTACTCGGAATCAATAGTGACATATTGCTGGCACAATGCGCATTACAAATTTTCAAAACATAGTAGTTTTGAAAATGGTTATGAGCATTGTTGACCGTTAATTTGATAAAGTGAATGAGTTAATGTTATTATTTTCTCCTCGTACAGCATGAATGTTTTTAAATTCAATAAATAATGATAGTGTAATCCGTTGCCCTAATCCCAGATTAGCGGTTGGTTTAAGAAATAAGATTGATATAGGCCGTAAATATATATGTTTCAATTAATCATATATATCTATTTGATAGAGTTATATAATATTTGTTAAGCACGACAAGGATGCGACAACGATAATAAAATCTTTTTCTATTTGTTTTAAAACTATAGCCAAAAATAATTAATAAGGTACCAGATTAAGTTTTGTAAGTAATCTTATATAACAATCAAATAATAATAATATTACTTATTGACAAACACCTCACAGGACATAAAAGACATTAAATATGACTGTGAAAACGTACACATAGAAAAAATATCGTCGTTGTAGTGAAATAATTAAATAACTTTGAATACCCAACTTCCAAGGTAATAGATTTAGTTTTTTTGGCATTAATAATTAACATAACTTTTTAATATTAAGAAAATTTACGTCGGTCTTTTGATATACAGCATTCTTCTCATTATCAATTCGTACTGTCCTTTGGAATCTACATTATACAAATAAAATAAAATAAAATTCAATTATTCACTTCTTTATTATCTCAATTTGATATACTGTATGTCAGTTATTTACATTTTTAAGGAAATAACATTTTTTTTTAATTTGTAATTGTCTACGTTTTGTTGACGTCTGATTCATTTTTTATTGGTATGTCAACATGTAATTTTAAAATTAATATAAATTGTGGTTATTAGAAAAACAGTACACTGCGGCTAAAACTGTATTAAATTTAGATTTTTAATAATGGATGTATTTATTTTTTATCCTTTTTTAAAGTTTTACTTGTCGGTATCACAAAATAGAGCATGTATTAGTTAAATAAGGTTGTGGCAGAATATCAGCGACTTCCTTTAATACGGCGGTCTAAGACTGACTCACATTCCCTTTTTGTTCCCAAAAAAGTTGATATGTCAGATTTTAAGTTTTCTGTGTTTGTATGAGTATTTTTTGGGGCAAAGAAATACTCATTATTATTATTTTTTTAAGATTTACTGCTGTTTTATTTTATCCAATGAAGGTAAATAGAACACCGAATATCTAAAGTACACGCGGATATACCGTGAAAAGATTGCCTCTTTAAAAGTCTTAGTGTCGTTCTTTTGTTGCGTCGTAGTCGCAACGCTGTCTCATCTTTGTCGTATCGACCAATGAGGAAGTGACCTTAGGATAGCAAACCCAATTTTACCAATGAACTAATCCATGACAGGCACTTTGTTTTTGTCTGCGCTTAATATATAACAAATAAATCAAAATCAAAAAAATAATTAGTGTACAAATATATTTCGTCGATTGGGAATAAATGTTCGCAACTTTCGAAAGTTCCTACTGTAAACATACGCAGACCGAAAATTTATTACCACAAACTCCTTTTAAATTCCTGCTATGTTCGACCATATGTGATAAGCTGTTGGTACTCACTGAGTTTGAAGGAGTAAGCACTAAATGTCAAGGTGTATGGTCAAATTCTTCAAATGTAAAACTAGTTAAAAAACTATTCTTGTACAGGCAATCATGTGCGCTGGCAGAGACACACTCTTTTTTTAGAGTTCCGTAGTCCTGACAAGGAACCCTTATAGTTTCGTCATGTTCAACTGTCTCTCCGTCCCCGTTTGCTCGAAGACTCTTATTACTAGAGAGCTGTAATTTTGCGGAGATAATATGTATATCAATCAAGCCGACTAAATGGTAATAAAATTACTTAGGGTTTCCGAAGACTATTTATGGATTTAGCGATCCGTTTTCGAAATATTGAACTTTCAAGTGTCAATTTTTATTCGTATTGGGCATCCCCCCACCCTCCTCTAATAAATTAAATTTAACTAATGGCTTGAAAAACCTGTAGAAATTCATGATTATAGTCCTTTTCATGAACTTTCAATGAAAATTATGACGGTTAAATAGATTTGTTACATTAAAGGCCTCGTTTGCCATCTCTGAGTAAAGTTCTGATTAGTTACTTTCCAATTAACAGTACTCAGCAAGTAAAACTAAAAAGTAACAATTTTCAATTTCACATGCAAAAATGAAGTTCCGGGTACTTAAGTACTCAGCGGTTAAAAGATTGATGTCGGGGAATCGTTCATTCATTTTGAAAAAATCACTCATTTCATTGTCATTAACGTCAAACTAAAACTCTGGTTTCTGTTGTGTCGGTGTCGTGTTGTTGTTGATTTCTTGTGGTATTTTTTCCTCAATATATTTTGCGTTTCCGTGTTTTTTTAAATTAAAATTATAAAGAATAATGGCTAACAATGTTATAAAAAGAGAAAGAAGTGCAAATTTTAATTTGGACGAAAGAGATTTATTAGTAACTCTTGTGCAAAAATATCGCAATATAATTGAGATTACGCAAATTGATGGTATTACTTGTAAGAAAAAATAGTTGTGTTTTGTTTATAGGTTAGGAAGGAAGTTTTTTTTACAGACATCTAGGTATTAGATCTAATATAGATAGTTTTAGCATCACTCATCTTTGAGCCTTGGTTATTATATTCTTCTTAATTAGATTATGCACATGACTAACTGTATTTTTAGATAACCGAAATCGAGCTAAAAATTCTTGATCATCAAATTTCGAAAAATAATCAACACGGACATTATAAACTCGAATCCGCGGAATTCTTTGTAAAGAATAATAGTCGTCTTCCAACTCATCAATTTGGTGCTCAATTCAAATCAAATCAAATAAATCCATTATTGTCTTAGTAACGACACGTTCTCTTATTCGACAATTAAAATAGTTACTCGCCAGTGGAAGTTAAAACTAAGTTGTAGGCTACTTTAAATGTTGATTAGCGTTACTCGAAGATCGTGAAATTTGAGATAAGTTTTACTTGCGACTTTATGTGACGGATAGTCTACTCGACACTTTACTCAGAGATGGTAAACGAGGCCCTAAGAGTAATTGTCCTTCATCTTACGTATTAGAAAATTTCTGCACTAATAAAAACTCCTTAGAAAAAAACATTAAAAGCGACTATGACGAAGTAATTGCTTGAAAGGTTTAGGATTGGATTATGCGCGGACTGAAAAATTATTACAAGTACAATATTGAATATTATTTAATATTTTATCTTCGTTTGGAATAATGTTACATGTTACCGGCAACCTGTATAGTCCGGCATTCCATACAATACCTAGGCATGTATGAAGATGGAATGGACAGAATGGACTTTGATTTATCTTTCTCAATCGTACCTACTTGTTTCAATCTTGACCCCGCTCGACTTCCAAATAATATCGACATATATATTTTTAACCACATATATTTTTTACTTTTTAGTTTCATTTTCGATTTTGAAGTCGGTTTTATTTTTTGTTTATTTTTTTTAAGTATATTAAGTAATAGTTCGTATTTCTGGTGCGAGAATCTTGCCTTGCCGTAACACAATGTTAACTGGTTCAGGAAGTAAAGATTTTTATCTCGTATACCTCTCTGTACCTACATATAAAACAAATTTTCTTTCGAAATAAGCAGTTCAGTTATTTACTATTAATATTGAGTTTATTAACGATAATTGCTTATTTCCATTCATCCTATCTTTCCATCCTCCCTCCACCACCTCCACCACCACCACCACACCACCTCATAACATATTATAACCACTTATGCCACGAAGGTCGTCAAGTCAATCAGAAAGAACAAATGACCGATATTGGCCCAGTTTACAACTCTGCAATGTACGCTGAATTTTGCATGACATACAGAATTAATGTTAAGTAGATTTAGTATTTTTTGATTTTTGTTATTGTTTTTTGCTGTTGATTGTTAAAAGTAGTTAAGATCTTTTTGCCTGAAACACAGAATATTTCTAGTTCAGGCTATGTATTTTTCTTTACCTTTTGTGTTTTTTCTTTATATGTAAAAGTTAATTCTGAATAAAAATTTTATTTAGTATTTATTAATTTATCTTTGTTGAAGTGTCAGTACTTTGACCCGTTACAAAACAGGATGCAAAGAAGATTCTGTGAATCAGCCTGTATATGAGTGGCAAACATTATTGTAAACTACTTTACTTTTTCCTTGCAGAAAATGCCACCCGCCTATGTTTGGAGGGCGAGTGGCAGAACTACACTAACTACGCGAACTGCACCGAGCGCATGGCGAACGTGTCGCCCACCGACGTCACTAGTCTCATCTACCTCACCGGCTACTCGCTAAGCCTGGGCGTCCTCTCGCTCGCTGTCTTCGTGTTTTTATATTTTAAGTAAGTACAATTCATTTGTTTTGCACACACGGGAACTGCATGGAGTCATGGTGAATGTGTTGCCCACCGACGTCACCAGCCTCATCTACCTCACCGGCTACTCGCTCAGCCTGGGTGTCCTCTCGCTCGCTTTCTTCGTGTTATTATATTTTAAGTAAGTACAATTTATTTGTTTTACAAACACGCGAACTGCACGAAGCGCATGGTGAACGTGTCGCCCACCGACGTCACCAGCCTCATCTACCTCAACCCGTGTGTTCATGTGTTCTCTTGCTCGCTGTCTTTGTGTTTTTATATTTTAAGTGAATACAATTCACTTATTTTGCACACATGCGATTTGTACCGTTACCACGAACCAATATCGAATTCGTTACGTTTCGAGTGCGAAATGTCAAAGTCAAATTTTGTATGGAAACTTGAACAGCAGCACCACAACGGACGTAACGAGAACTAAAAATCAGTATACATTTGACGTATATCTAGATCGAATTCATCTATTCGAATTTGATACTGGTTCGTGCTAAGAATACCGCACGGAGTGCATGGCGAAATTGTTGCCGAATACAATTTATTTGTCTTGCACTTGCACACTGTTAATTATCTCACCAATTAATTTATAAAAGTAATCCCCTAGAATCCCATTACTTTCCAAGAACTTGGACAAAACACAAATAATACGTCCTTGTTGAAGTCTGAGCTTGACGTATTGGTATGGAATCGATGAAATGAAAATTTCAATATATTTTTTTAGATTTCTGCTATGTTTTTGTATACAAAATCGCCCTAATGACGACAAACAAACATAACTTTCATCATTTGAGCTATGAAGACAATAGATGTGAAGAAGAATGATAAATTATTACAACCTGGCTTTTCTATTTCACTCACTTGGACAACTATATTTATTTCTAACAATAGAAAATAAAATCTCCAATCAACTTAATTGCGAACATTCTCAATACTAATTTATCGTTAAACGCAATGCAAACTGTTTACAAAACATGCGAAGAGATCCAACTGATTAAACTCAATGTCCTCTATTCGCCTACAAAACTAAAAGTTTTACTAGAAAATCCGTAGTTCCATCGGCTTGTATTGAGATATAAAGGAATGAGAAAAGTTGTGCCTGTACAGCCTTATCGCTCGAGCCACTTAACTAGTTACTCCGTATCATATATCAAGAGCACAATTTATATTCTTGCTTGCTTCTACCAAAGCCTGCCTTTTAAACGAGTAATCTTGTGAAAGATTGAGAGTTCAATCAGAACTTCGATATTATTTTTTCTTTTATAGATAAGTAGAATTATATTGACAGTAAGTGCTTGCAATCGATTGAGCGAAGAAGATATAAAGTTAGTGATGCCTCGCTTACGTATAAATTACTATGAAACACTTTCCGTCCATAAGATTTTACAAAAAATATGATAATGTTATTAGGAAATCAATAATAATATTATGAGTAATAAAACTGTGGGACTATCAATAAATTGCTAGTGTCACAGTATTTACTCGTAAAACCTAAAACAAAATAATATTAATTAAAAAAACGACGGGGTGCGCTCCGGGAGTGCCGGCAAAAGTGAAAACTTGAATATTAACGTTGTGCATTTTTGATATTTTGGAATGGTTAAGGAATAATTTTTCACGAATTCCTTTAATTATCAGTATAAAAATACTATCTCATGTATGTGGTAGAATATAATATTTATTTATTGCGATATCGTACAAAAACATGACAATTTATATTACATTAAAAAAAAATCTCTCAGAAAATCAACTAACATGAATCACGTTTAAGCGCACTTAGCGACATCTATTGTAAAAAAAAAATATTTTCTTCGCAATAAAGCTGCCACGTGGACGTCCTAGACAGAGACTTATTTTTATAATACGATAAAATTAAATATTACTATGTTTCGTCCAATATATTGATGGTCAACAACCTTTCCAATTTTATTGTGTGTCATGATGCGATCAGCCCACTTGTTTAATCTAACGCGAGTTTAACATTTTTTACCCATACAAAAAAAGTGTACAACGCCGCTAAATAGATTTTACTTTAAAAAGCAAAATCAAAATCTACATTTTTGTAACGGAACATCACAGGAGAACCTTTGATATGGCTTTCTTTGTTGTATCTGTAATATTCTTAAAGTTAAAGGTTTCTTTTATAAAAAGCCACCAGATTATCGAAATCGAAGAAAAAGAAGATAGACATAGGAAATTTCCCTCTCAAACTAGAGCGCCCGTCTAGTGATGTAACCTCCACATTACAGAAGGTCACAATGATGTTGTAGATGTGCTGGTCCTGAGTTGACAACGCATTTTATTTTCTTCTTTATCAAGCGCGACAGCTATTTGTTAAAGATTAGTGAAAACACACCTAGTGACGATTTCAAACTCTCTGTCAACTACGCAACGGCACGGCGTTCACCCAACCACCTGACGTTCACTGGTTGAGAACGAGGCGTCCACTCGTGGTGCACCCGATGTTAGCTGGTTGACAACAACGTGGCGACCACGACTGAATGTCACGCAACGAGGTGGTGCCGGGTAACTCTACTGAGCTGTGACCTTTATTCTCTTCGTTAGCAAATTGCACTCGCGCAAAGACGGGGTGGGTCGCGAATTATTTATAATTTACAAGGTTTCTATTTCTAAGAAATTGATACACACATAAATATGTATGTATCAAACCGGAGTGCAACCAATCGCAATTTATAGCCTTTGACATTCCTATTTAACACGACTCGATTCATTCCAAATGCTACGATGGCTATGTGTCAGAATGTAATCTGTATTATTCCCCATGAGCTTACAATATTATTGACACTCATTGACGTCTGACAAGGTCGTATAACGTTGGAAATCGTATTTGCTGCCAGAAAATACAATGTAATGTAAAATATTAGCTTAGCTTTCACACTACATGTGTGGTCGATGCAAATGAAGTCTATGCTACCGTGATAAACAAATTTTCAGTTTTAGAATTCTCCTTGTCATACTTTTTTTAATTTTGATTTTTTCCTCATTTTGAAGGGAAAACTAATTTGATTCTGTAGTCGGTGATTATTTGATACAATGACTATAGTTTACGCATTGGTTAACTTACATAAAGTATGTACCAATGATATTACATATACAGTAGGTACGTACCTACCATTAATGAAATATATTATTTAACTATGAGAACGAAGCAGCGAATCTCTGCACATAAAGATGATTTCGTCACGATATTCTACTAACAAAATGACAACGCTCTAGGGGATCGTATCAGTATAATTAAATGTTACATTCATTTGTCATAATAACACATGGTATCCGTCTTCTTATTAATTTCCTTAATGGCAATCCACACCTTTTACTTATTTATAACTTCGTTCTAAGAGTGTCAACGACACACATACACGATTGATTACAGAAATCATTACGAAATAAATAATTAATTTTGTGAATATCTTAATAATAAATTAATCTCATTTTAACACACACACAAAGCATTAAAATGTTTTTAATTAAGCAATCAGTTGTTTTCAATTAAACAATACAGGAGGCGAATTTTAACAAATACTATATTCAGATGTTCAGATAAGCAGCTCCTCAGATATTAAGAAGATTAAAGAAAAATTGTCAATTACAATTTAATCTGATTATATTTATTGACAAAATATTTACATTATTAATAATGGATGTGATATGAAATCATCAGCATTAGCTCCAACCTACTTATGTATACCCACTGGTAGGGTACGCCTTCTCTATGGATGGAATAGAGAGATTGGGCTATGGCCTAATGCGGATTATGCCTCCTGGAGCACAGAATAGCTCGAATCAAAATCGCCATCCTATGCCGGGCAAATCGCCATCCTATGCCGGACCGCGAAAGTTCTCTTCTCCTTTTTCTTTTTGCTACGGGCGTTTCCACAACTCGACGTCCATATAGCGCCTGATTTGTGTGAGGAGTGTGTTGCCCGAGTGACTCCAGCCAGGACCTTCACATTGGTGGCTGCCTCTTGGTGGTTTCCGGGTGAGCCGAGGTATTTCCCGCGGTATTCGGGCACTCTGTTGCATTCCAGCAGAATGTGTGTATCTGTTTCTTCTGCCTCCAAGCATCCGCTGTATAGGGGGCTGTCTGTGATACCTAAGTCACAAAGACGTCTGTTTAAATCGCGATAGATATACTTAACTTTCACAATAGCAGACCGAACGATTGCGCTTTAGAGATCCTCTTGATGTAAAATGGCACCTACATAAAAAGTCAAAATTAAATCAAGATCATATATTTGCTAAAACTAGTTTTTACGGGTTAATGCACGAAACTTTATTTATTTATTGACGTTTCGCAGCCTTTTCAGGTCTGCATCGTCAGAATAATGATTTTATTTAAAATTGTCGAGCTACCTTCGAAAGAATTATATTGTGCGTTCGGTTATTTCATTGGAAGATTTTTAAAATTTTTATTGTCTATGTATGAATTTATTATTTAATTTACTTAATAAAGTATTTTATTTAAAATTCTTGTTTGTAATTTTGAGTTTATTTATTTGACCCTAACTACCGTAAACTACCACCGGTTCCAAAATTGGGAGACCTTCCTGAGAAGAACCGGCGAAACAAACTCAAGAGAGGCTTTCTATCTCCTTCTTATGTTAAATTATGCAAACAAAAAGAACTAATAGTATCTGATGGTCTTGCAGTGTGTGCTCGGGGTTGGGATTTTATCTCCTGTATAATAGGTTCCCAAGCTGGTGGTATATACCAACCATCTTCCCTATTGAAATTTGGATATTTTTTAATCTCAATAGCTCTCATCATTCGAGGAACGAACCGCCGCTCAGCTGCAAGGATCTGTGGTCTATCAAATCTAATGTAGTGGTTTGGTCCCCCTAATGCATGTTCACACACTGCAGATTTATTTTCGCGCCTATGTTTCATATCTGCGATATGTTCTTTTACCCGAGTCCCTATACTCCTCTTTGTTTGCCCGATGTAGGAGAGCC